AAACATGAGCCTTTTACGGAGTAATAGCTCGTGATATTTCAGGACCCGTCTGCCTTGTATGATAGCTGTACTGTCACCAGAACCAGGGGCCGCGCGCGTAGGTACTTACCTACTTCTTAGTAGGTACCTACCTAGGTACCCACCTAGGTAGGTAGGCAGGTACAGTACTACGCGCGGGCCCTGGTTTTGGTGACAGCACAACTATCACAAGATAGCGTAAAAGTCTGATAAATTAAATTAAAATACTTATAAGCTGTCTTGTAATAGTTGATAAGCCAGGAGACTGTTGCCAGAAACAGGCGCCGCGCGCGTAATAGTACCTAAGTTAAGTAGGTAGGTACTTATCTGCCTAGTAGTGGTCTGGTAGGGAGAACGCACCCACCAGACATTATTGCTCAGGTCCATGTCTGGTCGAGTCCGGTCAAGTCTTCCTAAGTACCTAGGTACCTAGGTAGTTTAGTAGTCAAGTCACCTGGTCCATGTCTAGTCTGGTGTGTGTTCTGGCTCAGGATCAACCGGTCTGATCCACCAAACTCTGCGCAGCCCGCCCTGTAATATTATTGACTCCGTACGTGACTTGCACTGCTCTCCGTCCTTCATCCACCGCGTGCAGCTCTCCCGTCCCTAATTCATCCAGAGTCCATTCAACCCACCCACGTTACGACGTTTTGGCTCAAGGACGGCATGCCTCGCCATCCCTTTCACTCCCGCGACGACGACCACAGTAACAATACTCCTCTGTATACTCGTCGTTCGCTTTTGTAATATTACGGCTCGCACTACCCTCGTTATCAGTCTCCGGCACCGTTAGCTCTGTCTGCTCTGCGCGCTAAAGTTGGGCGTTCTGCCCAAGCTGCCGTTCATTTTGTGCATCCCTCGCGCATCCTTTCCCGATTGCCGCTCGTTCTTCTCTCAGCGCCCACGCCTGTTCAGAGACCACCTCCATGACCAACCGCTCTCCCGATCCGACCGATGATGGTGACGAACAGTCTTGCAATCCCGATGTAGCCGATACCGAAGCCATGGCCTGCCGCCCGCAATCAAGATCACGTTCAGCCAGTAGGACAGGCAATGACCCAGGTGAATTTGATTGGAAGCGCAGCAATATCCGTAACGGACATGCGAAGATGCCCTCACCAGTCACACCGCCAAGCCTGTCCCGCCCGTTTATGCCGGCCGCTACGACCATGGCTCTGCGGAAGTCATCGCCTGGGCTGTCAGGACCTAAAGGAAGTCGACGCAACGGCACTGTCTCCATTCTTGTTCTTTTTACGGCTGGTATTGGCATCATACTCCTGGCCGCTATATTGAAGTCTCTCATTAGCTATCAAATTGAGCCCAAGGGATGCCGCATGTCCTATATGCGACCTTCGTATATCCATTTTACCGATTTCGATACGGAACATACTCGTTTTGCGACCAAATACTCCTTGTTTCTTTACCGCGAACAAGGGGTAGACGATGAAGCCAAGGTGAGAAATAAAAACAAACTTGCAGTTGATGGAGTCAAATGCCTATGGTACTGATAAGGCTCGACGTGTTAACCCTTTTACACTGCAGTTACGTGGCATACCGGTACTCTTTATACCCGGCAATGCTGGTAGTTACAAACAGGTTCGACCAATTGCAGCAGAAGCAGCAACGTACTTCTATGACACCCTGCAACACGATGGAGGCTCGGTGGATTCGGGAGTGCGAAATTTGGACTTCTTCACCGTCGATTTTAATGAAGATATTACCGCCTTCCATGGCCAGACCTTGCTTGACCAGGCAGAGTATCTCAATGAAGCAATCCGATACATTCTGTCTCTCTACTCGGATCCTCAGCGAACCACTCGTGACTCTCACCTACCCGATCCAACCTCGGTCGTGATTCTTGGTCACTCAATGGGTGGTGTCGTTGCTCGTGCAATGCTCGTGCAGTCAAATTACCAAGCTAATTCCATCAACACAATAATCACCATGTCTGCTCCTCATTCTCGGCCACCAGTTACCTTCGATGGTCAAATTGTGCAAATTTACGACGAGATCAATGCCTACTGGAGAGACGCATACGCACAGAAATGGGCCAATAACAATCCGTTGTGGCATGTCACCCTCATTTCTATTGCAGGAGGAACTTTGGACACGGTTGTACCTTCGGACTATGCAAGTGTGGAGCCTCTAGTTCCGGAAACTCACGGTTTCACTGTCTTTACCACTGGAATCCCGACTGTTTGGACGAGCATGGATCATCAAGCCATCCTTTGGTGCGACCAATTCCGCAAAGTTGTAGCCAAAGCGTTATATGATGTTGTCGATTCAAATCGCGCCTCACAGACCAAACCTCGAGCCCAGAGAATGCGACTCTTCAGACGACGATTCTTATCCGGTCTAGAAGCGGCTACAGAAAAAACGATAGCCTCGAAGGATGAAATCGTTCAGCTTGCCCTAGACGATGAGTCAAGCCGCATTGTCCCAGTGGGCGATCGTTTGATTCTAGACCGCCTGGGAAACCAACGTGATCCAGTAGTTCATCTCTTGCCTATTCCTCCCCAGGAGACGTCCGTTCCTAAACGGTTTTCGCTATTGACAGACTCTCCACTAGTGGATGCAAAGGAGAACGGGCCGCTTGAAGTGCTTGTCTGTACTGTTTCTCCCGGGGAGGTTGACTCAGCTACTATACACAACTCATATTCGGCGACTATACCGGGAGGTAGCCAGGCAAGACTCGCTTGCAAGAGCACATCTTCTGATGTCATTCTCCTACCAGCTTCCACAGCATCGACTCAGTATCCATTCTATCTCGAAGGGGAAAACCCAATCCGCCCATTTTCGTATCTTCAATACGATTTAGAGGACTTGTCGGAATATAATTTCATCGCTGTCGTAGATAGAGCCACCTCACAAACAGCAGGCTTTGTCATCAGTGAATTCAGCGACCGGGACGATATCCAGAGAGACTTTCCGACGAGCTTTTCGCATATCGCAATGTTTGGCTTGTCATTCTCCTTACCATCGGATCGACCAATGGCAGCTGAAGTACAATTTCCGGCCTTAACCTCAAGTCTCCTTGCATTTCACTTAGACCTGTCCCAGCATCAATGTCAGAGCACGCGCCACCTCTTCACACCAATGGTCAGGCAGTATTTGGACAAGCCTTATGAATCAAAGTACTTTGTCAATGCAAAACGTGCACACATTAGTTTGCATGGAATTGCACCCTACGTACCTCCACCGCTGGAACTTAAGAGTACCAACAGCGGTCTGGGGTTTCAAATCTGGGCAGACCCGTCATGCGGTATACTAGAGGCCAAGCTGCGTATTGATCTGCTAGGAAGTCTGGGGAAACTGTATATGCGTTACAGGACAGTTTTTGCAGCATTTCCGCTGCTCATTGTGACCCTGGTCCTGAGGAAGCAATTTCGTGCCTATGATCAAACAGGTATCTTCATTCCATTCTCGGAAGCATTGGATCTCTCTCTCCGGCGATCAATCCCTCTGCTTCTCGTCTCTTTGACTCTCCTTGCAGTCTCACCAGAAGGCACTTCGAGGGTCATCCCTAACTTGATATGGAGCAAGCGACACTTGAATGCATTTCATAGGAACGAGCTTCTTATTGGCACCGAAAATCCTTCATTTTGCTTGCTTGTTCCCCTCATCGGACTTGTCTGCATCGGGGTATGTGCTGTATTACACTACGTTGTGCTTGCTCTCACACGATCACTTGGCATCTTATACGCCTTCTTCAGCAATGCTCCTACAACAGAAACAGCCAGCCACAAAAGAATTGCGTCGCAGGCCTTGGTGCCCTCAACACCGAGACGGCGAATGGTTTCTACAGTTGTTCTCCTATTTCTTGTCTCAACTTTTATCCCTTATCAGTTTGCGTATCTTGTTGCGTGCCTTGTTCAGTTGTTCACAACTGTTCGCGCCCACCGGATTTCAAACATAGCTGATTCAACGTCGAATGCGAATTACTACCGCTATGTACACTCTATACTGCTTCTAATGATCTGGGTCTTGCCAATCAACCTACCAATCCTCGCCGTTTGGATACGGAATCTTGCGGTGCATTGGCTCACGCCTTTTTCCTCACACCACAATGTCCTGTCCATTATGCCTTTCATTTTGCTGGTAGAAAACTTGACCACTGGTAGAATGGTACCGCAGGTTACAAGCCGGTTGCGGCATGTTACGAGTGTCCTTCTGTTCGGCACCGCATTTTGCGCTGCTGTGTATGGCGTTTCACACGCCTATATGCTACACTACTTGGTTAATATCATTGCTGCATGGTTGGTTATTTTGCACTCTACAGCAGATTCTTGGTCTATTGCCGGGTTTGGCGCAATGTTTGAAGGGGGTACGGACGAAAGCCGAAATCGAAGAAAGACCCCGTAGGCGTCAAGTTACGACTGCATCAATTAGGGAGATTCGCTGCACTATCACAGTTCCTCGGCACTTTTTTCCTGCGAAATCGAGTGTAGAGTTGAACCTGAACTTGGATACCTAATCCTCCATGCATCTTACCCCTTCTTCATTGACAGCTAGGAGGGGCTCCACGAGGTCTGCAACACCACGACACATTGAAGCAACCGTTTTGCCTTAATTACTTAATTTAGTTACCCGAGTTTCTTCCGAGCTCCTCCCGCTCTTCCTGCTTCCCTTAGTCCTTCTACATATTATCAGCATATTCTCGGAAGAGTAACTACTGGCACAGGAGAGCCTTTCGCTTTGCTGCTACAATTACACACTTAGGTCTCTGTTTTATCTACATTACGCATTGCTAGGCGTTTTTTTCCCTGGGTACATTGGAGGAATGAATTCATATTTCTGTCGCCTGTAAGGTTATCGGGTTGGATACCAGGTGATAACTTTGGTCGGTAATTGTCTCTAGGTAGTTGGCGGTAGAGACATAAATAATGAACTGTATAAATCCTTGAAGCATGTATTACATTGTACCAAATTGTTTGTTCTCCGCATGCAGAAATCCTCTCTGAAGAGGAATCAAAGTACTAACTTCAATCCTCTGTGTTGGTTTTTCTTTTTACACTAGCTACTTCGATGCCGCGTTCATGCTGCACTGTCCGAAGAGTGAAGACAATTCCGAGGAGACAAGCAATCAGAGTCACCCAATATGCCGCACGATAGCATTCCAGGCCATCGTGACAAGAACGCTCTCCACTGGGGTCGAAAACACTATGAGAATCCAACACCAAACCGTAGAAAAGATTGAATATGTTTGAAGAAATGACCGGCGCCAGAGTCATGAAGCCCCAATTCTGGCTTAGACCACGAATCCCAAAAGCTTCGGTGACGAGAGATGGAAATACTCCAAAGAGAAACCCGTATCCAAGTCCAGAAAGTCCTGACACAAAGCCTAGCAGGCGGGGATTTTCGATGATCAATGCACAAACTTGAGCCACGAGAAACACGATGGATGCCACAAAGAGACACCAGATGCGGCTGGCATGAAGGGATTTAACCAAAAAGTCTGACCCAACACCTGAAGCGAAATGCATTAGTAAATACTTCTTTACATGGTATTTTGCTCTTGACGAACTCAGGTAGAACAAGTGACCAGGGATGTGGCTGAAGGTTAGGGATGTGTAAGTGCAAGATTAGGCAGCTGCTCAAAAGGTAGTAAAATAAGAGAGTAGTTGAAAATTCCACATTGATCATTAGCAGCATGGTTGGTTGGACAATCAAAACGACCTGCGCAATCATTCATGGTGAGACTTACCACTGAGAAGCCGGCCCACAAAACTGCAGACAGACAATATAGACACATGCATTTGTTGGCGATGGACAAGGAAGTCTTCTGTCACCGATCCGTCGTACCGCTTCCATAGCGCATTTACATCATTTCCAATATTGCTAGGAATAATCAGCCCAGAACAAGCATGTTGAAAGGTCAAACCAAAACCCAGAGAAGGAGAAGGAAGACAGTGGCAAGAAGGCTGAACAGCGAAACTTACTTAATGGTCATAAGCCCAACGCCTGACAGAATAGCCATGATGGTGAACAAGAGCCAAAAAGACTGACTGCGAAGGAGACTGAAGCCGCGTATATCTATTCGATGAGATCGATCCGTATCAACACTACTCGCCACTACATTCTCTACTAGCTCTGGGGTTGTCGACGACATCAAAGACGAGGTCTCATCCACAGCATCTTCTTCAATATCATTATTGACAGGTTTGCTGCTCCAGCTAGGATTATTGGACGGGGTATTTGGGCCAGAGAGCACGGGCGATGAGGCCATGTGCGTGTTTGTGGAGTCTGTATTCGACGTACCAGGTTCTTCAGAATGGCGAATACCATGAGGAGTGGATTGGCTGTATGATTGCCGAAGATGAGCGGACAAAGGGGGTGAGCGACGTCCCTCTTCGTGGCAGATAGCACGGTAGTTCGAATGCGGGTACACCTTCAAAAAGAAGAAGCCTACGAAAGTCAAGCCAACTGTTCCGAAAGAAAGCAGCTTAAGGAAGGCGCTAGGATCGCCAGGGAACAGAACAGACCCGATAAATGAGAAGAAGAAGGCGCTGAGGCCAAACGCCGCCAGCGGAAATGCTGTTGCCGTACCTCGGTGACCTGGCCAGTTGAGTGCCGACGTCTTGACAGCCGCGGCAAATGCCATACAACTACCAAGGCCGGTTAGGAAGGAAAAGAAGCAAAGAGCTACAACGGATCCATATGCTTTGTCGTAGGCCATGTGCAAGGGGAAGTATCCCGCAACAAGGAGAAAGGCGCCAATGAGAACAAAAGGCCGAGGGCCACGTCTGTCGACAAACATGCCTACGGGAACACCAAGCGAATACATGCCTAGGTTCCCGAATTGGCCGATGAGATTGCTCTGAGTAGCTGATAACTTGAGCCTCTCAGCAAACTGCGGAGCCCATGCCGAATAGACGTACTGGAGATAAGGCGTGTTAGCTCATGGTAGAATGAGAGAATAGAATATCAACCATTTTGGGGGCATGCTCGGCGTGACTACAGCAGTAGCGAACATGCAGTAGTCTCGTCCAAGTTGGGAGAATTCCAAAGATAAGTAGATGCAACACTTACGTTTGTTCCACAAGCCAGGGAGATGATTGTAGCAGCCACGCTCGCAACCAGGCGAGCTCGCCGCATTTGTTGATTTTGTTGACCCATGGCTGGTAGGCAGCGGCGTGAGAGATCACAAGCCGCGGTTCAGCCAGCCGAAATGAGAGGATTCAGACAGTGATGTGGTCGATATTTTCGAGACGAGAACCGACGCATCAGACGTTTGTGAGGGAAGCAAGGCCTACAAGACGAATAGCCGCAGCTTGCTGCGGTAAGGATTTCCCGGCAGAGGTCTGTCTGGTTGGTCAAACCAGCACAGGCTATCAGCAAAGGTGTTTGGGGCTATGATGTCCGAGGTTGAAAAAGAAAACGGGTACGGAGCAGACGGAAGGTAGACGGAGGCGGATGGGGGTGTTATTAACGGTCCCAAGTCAAAGGTGGCACTTGCACTGGAAGTACCTTTTAAGTAAGTAATAAGTACTTAAAAAGGATAAAAAATATATTAATTATTATTATTAACTCTCTATTACAATGAAATAACTTTTAAAGTCTTTTAAAATCTAATTATTATTTTGGTTTTATTTAAAAATAATTATATTACTTTTAAAAATAAAAACTATACGCCTAAATACTTAGTTAGTACTTACGCAGTACTTATGTAGGTACCTGGTAGTTTAAAACGTGCCGATACCATGCCGATGCAGCGGTGGGTAGGGGATAAGATGTCGCGTGGGGGGAGGTTAAGATAGTCGACCTAAAAGAAACTACCAGACTACTTACAGTAAGTACCTACCTAGGTATATAGGTACCTACCTAGGTACTTAATTACTTAAGTAAGTACCTGGTAGGTATATTATACGTACCTTACATGTAATAATAGACCAATATGCTTTATTCTTTTGTATTACCAGTAACTGAACTGCAGAGTGCTGCTCCGAATATCTAATAGACCACCGAGCACAATCGCCGTCTTGCTTGTCTTATATGTATGGTAGACTTTTACAAGATTTTAATGTCCTGATACTTCCAAGTTGTTACGACCCAGTCATAT